CAGGGAAATTCGAGGAAAACCGAAAAACCTGAATAATGTGACACTTCATGCGTTCAATTGCACCTTTTACTTCTAAACTTTGAATTACTGATTAGAACGAATAACAAGGGCTCATAATACATTTTAATAGTTATACTTCAGCGAGCGGATTGCATGCTAATTGAAAAGGGAAACGTACATCGGTAGGCATTTCGGTGCAGGTAATGGAAACGAAATCTGCTCTTTTACTGAGCGATTCAAACTGCCCTGTATTGGCCGACTACACATTGTATCTATATCTACAGATTTATGTATTGTATGGGCGTAATGGCGCGGACCACACCCCTGCTGCAAATAGAAGCCTGTGCTAAGTAGTGCACGATCCCAAGCCTTGCTCTATCTGCTACGATTCGATCACTACATCGCCGTATGAGCAGCCCACTATTGAAAACGCTCCGTTAAAATTATGGAGCGAGCCTGGCGAAGCCAGGCCAGCTCGGCGAAGCCGGGCTAAAGAGAAGGAGGAGAGCTCGGCGTTAGCCGGGCGATCCGACTGGTAACTATAAATGTTTTGGCACTATTGAACTATTCCTACCCCAAAAACTCAAAAAAAATTTTCGCTGAAACGTTGCCTATAGGTGTAATTCGATGCGCTGATCACGATATAACATTCGTTTCGAGCGCTGGCGTCATTTGGCGCCATTATGCGCCAATTTGGCGCCCACCACTTTTTTCACCAAAGTTGATGAAAACTTGCATATGGGGTTAATTGAGGTCCTGATTACGAATATCACACTGGTTTCAAACGCGCTGGCGCCATTTGGCGCCATTATGCGCCAATATGGCGCGTAATGGCGCCAAATGGCGCCAGCGCCTAAACCAAATGTTGGATCCGTAATCAGGACCTCAATTAACCCCCATATGCAAGTTTTCATCGACTTTGGTGAAAAAAGTGGTGGGCGCCAAATTGGCGCATAATGGCGCCAAATGGCGCCAGCGCCTAAACCAAATGTTGGATCCGTAATCAGGACCTCAATTAACCCCCATAGTTTATAGTTTATAAGTTTTTATCAGTGGTGGGCGCCAAATTGGCGCATAATGGCGCCAAATGACGCCAGCGCTCGAAACGAATGTGATATTCGTGATCAGGGCATCGAATTACACCTATAGGCAACGTTTCAGCGAAAAAATTTTGAGTTTTTGGGGTAGGAATAGTTCAATAGTGCCAATGTTTTGAAAGTTGGAACAGTTCAGACGATAGGAACTTTCGAAGCGCTTGTATAAATTGAAACAATAAAAACAAAAAAACAAAAAGAAGCTCACCCAGGAAAAGGAGTTGGCCTTATCCCGACCTAAAAAGAAGTGAAACCTTCTTACCTCATATTCCAGATCTGCTTATGCATAGAAAGTCGTAACTTATCAGTTAGTAGCCATTATTAAGAGTAAAGAAGGTCTCACAAGTTGGATTCCCTTATTCATCAGGCGAGCGGTCCATAATAGCGTTGGGGCGCGCGCTGCCATGCACCGACGATCGCGGCGATCGCCGCGATCGCCGCTGCTGTCGCGAAGTATGAACGCTGCCTAATTGGATCCTCGGATAAGCTGCCACCTTGCTACAACACCACCTTTGCATGAAAGGTGGTCATGTGGTCATTCACTTAAGAATTGATTCAAACTAGTTGAAATACTGTCCTCCAATTTATATGCGACATCGTGAAGTTTTGTGCGCGATCCTGCGTGAAGCCAAGAAACGACGATAGCTAGAGGGCAGCAGCTGCCATAGCATCGAAACGTGCAAGAAACAGCGAGGCAGGAAATGGGCTTTTTCACAGGAAGTGCACTGGGGGCGGGTGAACCACTACAATCCGTGGGAAAGCTGAAATGAAAGTCACAACAATAACAGAATGTCATGTACTAGGAGTGCAAGATTGAAAGATCCATGCGTTCACAGGGACTGAGTTCAGGTTGTCTGTAGCCCGCTACAACACCACCT